CCTTTGCGGTGCTCGATGCTCACCAACCCTGAGTTTACAACCCCTCTCCCTCCCCTTAGCAGCCATGTACGACCCTCTCGATGGGTTTCGCACAACTGCTGTACCCTGGTGGTGCAGTGTTGCTCCGCTTGGCAGGACAACCACTAATGAGTATATCAGTTTGTAACGTAAAGAGGAAATGACCAGAAACTTGTCGCCTAATAAAGATTCCATCATTGAGTAATTTGAGTGCGAAGACATTGACAGTAATCGTGAAGAGCATTTGAGGGAAATCTGAATCAAGGAAGTTACCAACAATACCTTCATTTCCGACTATTTCTTTCTTCACAACAACATATCGCGGAGAAGATTTTACCACTTCGGCTGGTGACGTTTGTAGGGGAGTTGCAGGCAGCGCTTGAGTCTTCACAGCGTCCTTCGGTGAGCCCGATACGCTTTTCATCGCCTGAATAGTATAAAACTTTCATTGTTACCGACGCTCCGAATGTGCTCTGACCGTGCTTAGAGGCACAGTTCGCGCTAATCGTGAGAGAGAACTCATTTCAACTTGGGGTATGTGGCAAGAGATTGTAATTCGCCGCGCTGATAGGCGTCGCGTGCGACGTCGCGCCCGCGTCCTCTTTATGGTTTCAGGTCTTAGATGGCGATAACAGGCAATATAAAACCAAAAATACCATTGAATGTCCGCGTTTCGTAGTCCACGTGAGGCCCGCTGCTCCAGTCGACAGGCTATCCGAATAAGTAGAATGCCGCACCAATCGTCGCGCACGGCGGAGCGGCAAATTACGATTCTCTTGACCGCCTCCTTGCTTGAGCGCTTCTTTTCGACTTATCAAAGTGACTAGTCGAAGGAAGCGTTCGTGAGTGTAGTTCAGGACATCCTATATGCGGCGTCGCGCGCGAACTAAATCCTAGCAAGCTAACTCTCGGCATTATGACGTTCAGGAAAACAGGCGGGATACAGTGCCCCAAACTGCGCGTAAAACTTAGAGTACAGGAGCAGTGGACGCACTTTAAGCAACTCTGTTCCCGCCTAAGCAGCCCCTTGGCAGGTGAAAAGCGGAATAGGCGTCGCTCTCACCTCCTGGTCTCAGCCCGTATCTTCCTTACCCCCCTCCTCCACTCCCACTTCCCCCTGCCCTACACGCGCGATGGCGCGCAGTAGTCCGATGAAACCTGCATCAACAAGGCTAAGCAAAATGCGTATAGCACTAGCTAATGAACGCGTAAGTGATCTGGTTCCGGTATGCCCAATTGGGTGAATTCACAGAGCCGACACATTTAATATCACGCGCAGTTTTCGCGGGTGCTGTATCCCCGGTTACGTGACACCTTGAACTTCTGTGCATGGTCCTGTTGCGAAACCAAGAAACGCAGACAGGTAGAGGACAGCGCCTGCA